GTATGTGTGTGTGTGTGTGTATGTATGTGTATCCGCAAACACACACACATACACAAATTCACACACACACCTGCGGACACAGACTGGCCACCAGCAGTCTGGAACTTAATCTTAACTCAATCTACGTCCATGTTGCAAAACTGAATACTGCATCAAGCCTCGGACTCTCTTGCATATTCTATCCTTCTATTTTTTGCCTTGTTCGGCGCCAGGACTAATCTACCAAAGGTCTGAATTGCAATCTTCACTCCCCTTGGTTCTTCTTGTATAACTGGAGTAACTGGAGTGATGTTCATTATTGTTATTTTTTTTCGTATCTTGCATCTTATTATTGTTATTTTGATGATACGTTGGTGATTGATTGGTGATTGGTGAAAAGGTAGTTTATTTATAGTTATTTTGTTTGTTTGTTTGTTCATTTTTTGTTGTTGCTTTTGTTGTTACTGTTGTTGTTTTGAATACAGAATCATGGTATTTATGTAGATTTTTTTATGATGGTATTTACTAGGGTATCTTTTGTCAGAAACGAGATCGTGTAAGTTTTGATGTTTCTCTATAGAGGATGAATAAAGGAAATGATTTGAGTACGTAGTTTAATTAATTTCTTCCTTATATGTCTAGGGAATATATATATAAACATAGAGAAAGAGAGAGAGAGAGAAAGAGAAACCGGTACACCAAGTCGCACATCAATCAAACTATACTCTTTTAGTGAGAAAAAAATAAAAACGAACTTAAAAAAAATAAAATTTTCCAACGCTTACATAAATATATATATATATATATATATATATATATATATATATATATATATATATATATATATATATATATTTATACAAAGAGAGGGAGAGAGAGAGAGAGAGAGAGAGAGAGAGAGAGAGAGAGAGAGAGAGAGAGAGAGAGAGAGAGAGAGAGAGAGAGAGAGAGAGAGAGAGCAAGAGAGAGCAAGAGAGAGAGAGAGAGAGAGAGAGAGCAAGAGAGAGCAAGAGAGAGAGAGACAGAGAGAGAGAGACAGAGACAGAGAGAGAGAGAGAGAGAGAGAGAGAGAGAGAGTGAGAGAGAGAGAGAGAGAGAGAGAGAGAGAGAGAGAGAGAGAGAGAGAGAGAGAGAGAGAGAGAGAGAGAGAGAGAGAGAGGAGAGAGAGGGAGAGACAGAGACAGAGACAGAGAGAGAGAGAGAGAGAGAGAGAGAGAGAGAGAGAGAGAGAGAGAGAGAGAGAGAGAGAGAGAGAGAGAGAGAGAGAGAGAGAGAGAGAGAGAGAGAGAGAGAAACCGGTACACCAAGCCGCACATCAATCAAACCTATACTCTTTTAGTGAGAAAAAATAAGAAATAAAAAAGAACTTAAAAAACTAAAAAAGAAAGAGGCAAAAACTTTATTTTTTTCTTTACGCCCATGTGTCTGTGTGACTTTCCCGAGATTGGCCAAAGTGCTTAACCACTAATTTCCCGATTGCTCTCCAACGCTTGTTTGGGCTCGGAGAGACGCCCGATCCCTCTGGCGTGTTAAGCTCATCAATTAATTGCCGGCTCCAACTCCGAGCTCGTTACAGATTAACGTTGACATAACAGTGTACAAGTCCTCAGCCGTTGATGGACGGCGTGGACACAAACGGACGCGGCGGCCGGAGACACCAAGGATATACACTGCAGCTGCGTCTCAATGCGTTCTCTTTGGCAACGTTCTGAAATGGAGAAACGGAAGAGGAAGAGGAGGCGAAAGAAAAGGGGAAGAAAGGTGATTTTTTTTTATTCACAACTAGAAAAGGAGGAGTTTTTTTTTTTTTTTACAATTAGGAAGTAAGTAGAGCGAAATCAGAAGAAGAAGAGGAGAAAAAAGAAGAAAAGAGGGAGGAAGAAGAATTTTCTTGACAACTAGGAGATAATTAGAGTCGATTCAGAAGAGGAAGACGGAAGAAGAAAAGGAGAATTTTTTTTTTTTTTTTTGAACAGTTACGTAAGACCAGAATCAGAAGAGGAGAAGGAAGAAGAAGAAAAGGAGAAGATTTTTTCTTTCTTTTT